CTGAACTCGTGAGGTATTTCTCTGACTTGCTGTGAATAGCAGCTGTACGTGAACCCCAAGATCCTGCCCTTGTACTGCAGGACCCGGCACTTGCTCCGCCTTTGCAGTGCAAGACTTGGCACTTGCTCAGCTAATTTGCTGTTGCTGGTGGCCTGTGCTCACCTGTTTGGTCAAATGTCCCCGGTCGTGAGTCAGAAGTCAGCAGAGACTGAGCTGGCAGTGACAGGGAAGCCATTCCGTAGGTGTCTTTTCCTAGCCTTGGTGGTGAGCGGAGGGCAGGAGTGCACAGGGCGGGGGGCAGGGGAGGGGGTGTCTCTGGTTCTGTTCGGGAAAGGCAATGAGGTCCACTCCGACCATGCTTCCTAAGAGGGTGAGCAAGCAGGACCATATCAGACGGCTGTGTCCAGTGGATTCATTCACTTCGTCCTCCACGTAGTCTGGGAGGCAGCACCAGGGCACCAGGACTTATCTGTGTGACCTTTACCTCCGACCCAATGGAGCCTTGTCTTCTCTCGGGTCAGATTCTCAGAAGGGTCCTGTGATGTAGAACTGTGAGTCCAAGGACTCAAGGTCAGAAGCTTGATAAGGAATGCCAAGAGTTAAGAAACTGAAGAACAGGCTAGTGTGTTACATGGAGACATGGAGTCAGGTGGCCCCACAGGTCCCAACCGCCCTCCCCCTCGGTGATGTCAGCACGCAAAGCACCACAGAAGTATAGTTTCCATACTGCAACTTTGCCATTGACCAGTGAGGCAACTGAGGCCCAGAGCAGGAGAACAATGTCAAATATGACCCCTGCTTTGTCTGGGGTCGTGGTAGAAAAAAAGCACACATATCTAGAAGTGAACGCTGGCCCTTCCCAAGTTGCCAGTCACCAGCTGCTTGACCTGAGTCTAATTAACTACTATGAGGCCCCTGTTTTCTCACCTGAAAACGAAAACCTCATTTGCTCCTCAATTTTTGTAGTGTTCTAGAAGCTGCACAGAGAAATGAGCACGTTACATTCAGAGCCATGGCTGGCATTAAGGGGAGCCACTTATTCTTGTGGTTACTACTCAACCACAACCACAGACCCTAGTGCTCCAGGCTGGAGTGGAAGTCTAGTGACGCTGGTGACTTCTGTAGCAACTCAGTCATGAGCTCTTGGACGCACGTGAAGGCTGTTGGGGGGGGGGGGGGGGGGGGGGCGGGGGGGGGGGGGGGGGGGGGGGGCACCAGAGGGGGGGGGGGGGGGGGGGGGGGCAGGGATCAGGAAGGGTGAACGGCTGGGGCTGCAGAGGCAGGCCAGACACAGAGAAACCCTTTCCACAGCCAAACCTCCTCATGCACATTACCAGCTGTGCTTCAGCCCAAGATCAAGGTGGGGGCAAAGGGAACAGCCCCCCACCAACAGGCTGCTGGCCACTGCTGGCCGCCTGTCCTGCTTAGAGTCACTCTTCCCCCATCTGTTTTGTGTGCCTGGGCTCCTTTTGAGTACATATGAAAACATGATCTTGTAGACGATAAAGTTTGAAAAATCCAGTGTCTTATGATTGCTAAGGAGTACCAGGCATTTCTTTTAGGCCACCAACCAGCTCCCAAATCCTGACACAGAGACTTATTATTAGTTTTGAATGCTTGGCCTAGCTTAGGCATGTTTTTGACTAGCTCCTTCAACTTAATCTGTTTCTCTTTGTCTACCTTTGCCCCAGGACTTATTACCTTTCTTACTTCCATATATCTTACTTTCACTGCTTCTCCGTGTGTGGCTGATATTTTTCTCCCTCTCTCATTCCCTCTTGTACTTCTTGGCCTAGATTTCTCCTCCTATTTAGTCTCTCTCCCCGTCAGCCCTGCCTACCCTTTCTCCTGCCTCACTATTAGCTGTCCAGACCTTTATTAGATCAATCAGGTGCCTTAGGCAGGCAAGATGAAACGGATGCAACACATCTTTACATCATTAAACAAATACATCAAAAACAAATTTTATATATTTAAAGTAACATTTACACAGTTAAAGTAATAGTATTTATACCATTAGAGTAATATCCCACAGCATAAACAAGTGTAACACATCTTACCTAGTTAAAACAACATTCTACGACACTAAGGTCATCTTCTGCCTTAAAAAAATTTCTAGCCAGGCAGTGGTGGCATATGCTTTTAATCCCAGCACTCAGGAGGCAGAGGCAGGTGGATCTCTGAGTTCAAGGCCAACCTAGTCTACAAAAGCGAGTTCCAGAACAACCAGGGCTACACAGAGAAACTCTGTTTGGAAAAGCAAAATAAATTCTGTAAACTAGAATTAGAAAGGTTGTTCAGTCAGTAAAGTGCTTGCCACACAGACTTCAATACCTAAATCCAATCCCCTGAAGCCACACCAGAAACACCCAGTATGGTGCTGTGTCTTGCTTTCTAGAGCTGGAGTTAGGGAGAAGGCAAATCCCTGGAGCCTGCACCCAGCCAGCCTAGCTTAGTCTTCCAGCCCCAGGTCCCAATGAGAGATCCTGTCTCTATAAAACAAGACAGAAAGCTCCTGGGGGACAAAACCCAAAGCTGACCTCTGCCCTCCACGCACACACGCACCAGCACCCACGTACAGCAAGGGACATCGAAACATCTCTAAGCCATCACGTCTTGCTTTGCTCCTTAAGCGTTCGTTTCTTTTCTCCTCCCTTCACAGAAAACAGCTACTGTGCTGACTGAGAGACAGAAAACAAAACAGAAGACTCTGACATTGCCAGCTCAGCACTCATGGCTGAGTGTCTACACAGATTTGAGCGGGAAGGGGGATGACGACATAGGGCTTTTCGTCCCAGCCCTAAGCAGCTGGGACCTCGGCAGTTTTCACCAGCTTCCTGCTCCGCACCCGAGGATTAGGCCATAGAGCTTACTCTCACAGGCCAGACACTTACATATTCCTAGGGGACTCATTTGTGTTCTGTACTCCTCTATGCAGTGTTAATTACACCCTGATGATTACCCAGAATCCCATGCAGTCCTGACTGCTTTGCAGCAGCCACACACTGTATAAAAGCTGTTGAACCAGGCAGTCCCCTTCAGTGTCAGAGGTCTGACTGCTGGGGAACTGAGACAGACTGAAACCTTCGTGGTGGGTGCCTCTGAGATCCAAAGGAACAGGTGTGGGTGAGAAGGACACGGGTGGAGGCACACACACTCACTTGCTTCTCTAAATAATCACGGACTACCTAGAACTTCTGATTCCCACCCCCACCCCAGATTTGTGGATGCTAGGATCTAGGTTTATGCCTCCATGCCCAGTTTCCTGGGGTGCTGGGGAGCAAACCCAGGTCCCCCTGTATACTAAGCAAACACCCTATCAGCTAAGCCACAGCCCTCAGCTTGAATCTGCTTCCTTGGTCCTCCTTCACAGCCCCGCCACAGACCACCAGATCCAGCGAGCACAAGGCCCGGGAGTGATTCCTCTTCTGAAATTTCTTAGAAGAATGAAGCAAGTGCCCTGGGCAGAGGGGGGCGGCCTCCAAAACGCTTATTTCCTTTCCGAAGCAGAAGTTCTGCTCCCTGGCTGTTCCCTGGGCACTTAGTGGTTCTTCGGTGATGCCCCCTCTATTTCAAGAGCCCCCAAAATTAAGCAGGGTGGCTACAGATGAGATTTTGGTACTTTCCAAAATTAAACTATTTCCCTTGGTAAATTTCCAGCTTATGAACTCACTAATCTGAAAACAGGATGTGGCCTGCAGTGTGAGATCAGACTGCCTGCTCTTTACTCTTTACCCTGGGGCAGAAAGGAAGAGGGGGTGGGAGAGAGGTGGGACCAAAGAGTGACTCTTTCAGGGCCCAGGGCCTTGAGAAATGTCACCACTTCACCAAGAGCTCTTAAGAATGGGTGACTTTTAACACCAGGAAGGGACACAGGGAGCTCATAGAATTCTTTACTATTAGAATTGAAAGGCACAAGCTAAGCTGAGTGGCATTTGCCTGGGATCCCAGACCCTGAGAAACTGAGGCAGGAGGGTCACTAATTCTAAACCAGCCTGGACTGTATGGAAAGACCCTGCCTGTAAAAAAATTAAAAGCAGAAGAATGGGAAGCCTCAGAGACCACCTCTGACCATGCTTACACAAATCATGGAGATCATGTTTGGAGGGAGGGGGTTGCTGAGACACAGCACTTGTCTTCAGGCAGACATTCCCCCTTCCAAGTTGAACCCCAAAAAGTCTTTATTCCACCAGCCAGCCAGATGCCCGGTCCAGTCCAGGCAGGATCACCTGACTACTAGAAACATGAGGCAAGTAGGTCTGCCATGGGTGGGAGACACACACACACCTCCATGTCCAGAACAAAACCCAGCAAGACACTCACACCCGTAATTTTTGCACTAGGAAAGCTGAGGCAGGAGGATGGCTTAAAGTTTGGAATCAGCAGGGCTACAACACAGCAAGTCCTTGTCTCAAATAAATAATAAATAAATAAATAATAGATCCACTTAGAAGTCAAAACCAAATTAATCAGATGGAGTTCCCTAACTCTTTTGATTAATATAAAGAGAATCATAGGGAATAAGAGGCCATGTGCTGTGTATATACGTGCGTGTTTATGCATGTATGTATGTGTATGTAAAATGCCACGTGTATGTGTGTGAAATGATGTGTGTGTTTAGTTTTACAATCACAACCACTTCCCTGCTGCGCCCAGTTTTGTTAGTGCACAGTGCCCTGAGAGCCGCACCATCTCAGTGCTGACTGCAGCATACACAGCTTGGAGCCTGCAGGATGCTGGGCTCTTTGCAAGAACCCACTGTGGTAAGGTTCAGACTTGCTGCTTTTCCCGCTAATGCTCTGACAGGATTTCAGACTGGAGCTTAATGCTGCCTGTGTGTCCCTTCATTCGTTGTACTGAGTACCTCACATGTGCAGTCACTGCGGGAGTCAGCTAGCACCGTGACCCCAACAGATGCTATCTGGGTCTCCGTTTCCTCGTGGGAGGAGCGCTCGCCCCGCCCCCGGCCGGCCTCGGGAACCAGCCCAGCCCTACCCACTCACGCAGGCCCTGCTTCCCTCGGCATCTACCCGCTATCCCGGTTCTTTGCACTGAGGACGGGCATCTACCCGCTATCCCGGTTCTTTGCACTGAGGACGCTCCCGCTCGCTCGCATCGCCAGATGAGACAAGGCGGCGGCGCGCAGGTTGGTTGCCCGGCACCCACAGATCCCCCCCAAGTGCGAACGTCATGGCGTTGGTTCGCGCTGAAGAACCCTCCAGGGTCCTACATTCCTCGCCCTTCCCAAGCGGTGCCCTGGTCCCTTGTCACAGCAGCTCTGCGCTCTGCTCTGATCTCGTCCTGACATGGACTTGGCAGGTCGATAGTCATCTGCTGGAAGAAATGGGGTCGGGAGGGCAGGGGACCACAGGCAGGCGGCCCGACAGCATGCCCCAGGCTATGGGTGTCAGGTGCGCCATTAGATCCCAATCTGGGCACTGTCACCCAGACGTTCCAGGAGAAGTGGGGGGTGTGGCCCAGGTGCGCCCCCAAAGACCAAAAGGAGGCTTGCACACCGCTACTCAGCTACTCAGAGCATAGAGAGTCCCCGTTCTGGGAGCGGTGGAGATGGGACCATAGGAGGTGGAGGCGAGAAGAGGTAAAAGAACCACCGCGGTGCAAGAATCAACTCTGACGGGGTTCTGAATGACAGAAGGAAGGTGCTGGCGTGAAAGAGCGGCCAAGAGCCCTCTGGCCCGCTTCGGAAAGGACAGGATGTCAGCTAGGACAGACCCAAAGCATTTGACAGCACGAGAGCCTCTAACAGGCTTGAAACTCCCTGGAGTTTCAGCGGCTTTGTAGACAACAGTCTTTAAAATCTTCACTGCAGAGTGAAGCGAGAGTAGATACAAAAGAGGAATTTGGAGAAGGACCAAGCTCATTTTAAAGAGCAGGTCCGTGCTCAGTCCTTCCTGCCTCACTAGCTGTGCAGTCTTGAGCAAGGCACTCAAGTTATCTGTAGAGCCCTCCAAAGATTGGAGGGAAATATTGATGAGATGTTTGTAAAAGTCCTTAAAACAGTCTGGAGATGTGGCTCAGTAAGCAAGAGCTTGTGCAAGGCCTTGGGTTTGATCCCAGAGCAAAGAAAAACAAACCACTTAACACACAGCACTGAAGAATAGTACCTGGTATCCTACTAGACAGCTGCCTACGGATGTTTTGATGCTAGTGGGAGGGAGCTGGTGGTAGACAGGGAATCGGTGAAGGAGGTGGGGACAGGACAAGAGAAAAGAAACGAGAAGGTAGATGGAGCAACAAGGTTAGGTGCCTCCCTTGTGTCCTAACTGGAGAAGGAGGAGACGTGTGGGGGTGCAAGGGTTGCTGCTCAGGCTGAGCAGTTAAGGAAAAGCCTTTCTGAGACTGGGGAAGTAAACTCAAGGTCACTAGCTGAGCAGGCTGGGCAGGGCGCAGTTGAGGGTAGAAGTCTATAGGATGCAACAACCTTTTTGCCAACGACCACTAGAAGTTCTGGCACCTTCCTGGGGATGGGGGAATGGTTGAGTTTATCTAGAACAGTGGTTTTCAATCTATGGGTCATGACTCCCTTTGGGGGTCAAATATCGGATACCCTGAATATTAAATATTTATATTCATAACAGTAGCAAAATTACAGTTAGGAAGTAGCAATGAAAATATTTTATGGTTGGGGTCACCACAACATGAGGAACTGTATTTAAGGGTTGCAGCATTAGGAAGGGTGAGAACCACTGATCTCAGAGTCTAAACTTCCCGACCCACTGGAACTCAAGGAAGCAGAGAGATGTAAAAACACTGTCAAGTGTAATTTGCCATTTTAAACCCCTTTCCTTGCTGGGAGTCCAAGGGCATGGTGGTTGCCTGAGTAAAAATACCAAAAGTTTTTGGAGCATGTCATGGGCCACGACCTCTGCCACACTTTCACTTACTTGATGGTTAGCTACAATTGTCAGCTTAGCATGACCTGGGAAGAGTTTCCATGAGGGACTGTCAACATTGGGCTGGCCTGTGGGCATGCAGTGGGAGATTGGCATAATAAAGTTAACTGATGTAGGAACACCCTGCACATTGTGGGTGGCGCCATTCCCTACACAGGAGGTCCTGAACTGTAAGAGTAGAGAAACTAAACTGAGAACAAGCAAAGGAACAAGCATCCATGTATCTGTTTCCCCCAGCCCCTGACTGTGGATGTGATTTGACTAGCTGTTAGAGGTCTGCCTTGACCTCCCCCCAATGATGGACTTTAGCCTGGAATTGTAAGTCAAATCAGTTTCCAGTCATGTTGCTTTTTGCCAGGGTGTTTTATCACAGCCAGAGAAGTGAAACTAGGACACCCCCCCCATCACATTTGATCATCTTGACAACTGGGTAAAACACATGTTTTATCCCCCATTTTACATATACAGAACTGAGGCTGAGACACATTTAAGACTGTGTGGTGAGTGAGTCAGGCATAGTGATGCATGTTGGCACATGGTGGTGCATGCCTTTAATCTCAGCACTCAGGAGGCAGAGACAGGATCTCTGGGAGTTCAAGGCCAGCCAAGGCTGCATAGTGAGACCTTGTCCCAAAACAAATAAATATTAAAATGCATATGGTGGATCCAGGATCCCACTTCAGAGCTGCCTGAAATCAGAGCCTGTGGTTTGAAAGCAGCATTGTTTATCCACAAATCCCATAGCAGTTGGGTGGGAAGGCATATGGAGGCCATTGTTGTCATTTGACAGTCTGAGACAAGCAGGCCGCCCTGACCAACATCCCCGTCTCTGAGACTTCATCAGGCTGCCTTGTTCTATCCTTGTCCATGGTGGGACAGCACAGGACCTGGTTCAGATCCCACGGCTCAACCGCAGGCTGTGTGTCTTAGGGTCTCACACCTTGCTTCATTGAGATGTAAATGGCTACAACAGGATTGTATGGGTTGGAGGAAAAAGTCTGCCCACCACACAATGGCTGGCCAGAGTGGTGTTTTTTCCTGTTCACCCTCATGCACACATGGACCTACGGTCCACTCGGCAACTGAGAGCAAATCCCCATGAACTTGGACTGGTGTAGTGCCTTGGTCTCAGCGGGGAAGTGTAACTCCTGACCAGATACACAGCCACCTATGACTTCCTGAGTCGGGCTTGGGAAGAGGACTCTGCAGAGTCTGTGGTGCCAATGCCTTGGACTTCAAGGGAGGGGAGGTCCCTGTTCCTCTGTCACCATCATGACTGATGCACAATGCTCCAGGCAGGGTGGGGTCGTCAGAGGCCTTCTGCTACCTTTGGTGGCCTTAGTCATAGGCTCCACAGTCTTAGTCCTAGAGACCACGTGTTCAATCCGTTTTTTCAAGATAGGGGAACCAAGTGACAGTGTGAGAAAGTGGCACCCCAAGGCCACCCAGATACCCTAGAGGACCCAGAACTTGAATTTTGGACCTGCTTTCATGACCCTTGGGGTTTCCATCAGAAAGCTGAGCCCCACTGTTCCAGAGAATTCTACAAGGCTCAGAGGTCCCCAAGGGGGAGGGGGGGAGGGCAGCCTGTGGTTCTCAGGCAGGGAACCATGACTCTAGAGAACCACAGCATCGCTCTCTTCCTGTGACTGTCGCTTGCTTGTTCTCACTCTGAAAAATGTCTGGACACTCCTAAAGGTTTCAGTCTCTGTCCAGGGGCTTTTTCTAACCACAAAGGGTAATTCCTACTCCATCCCTACTGTGACTCAGCTGTGACGTCTACCACACAGCCAGAGGAGAAGATAAAGTCACAGGAAGGGTGGCCCAGGCTAGAACCCACCTCTCTCTACAGGCTCCACAAGGCCTCCGCTCTCCTTGACAGACCCTCCCTGGTCTGAAACCTCAAGATGGCCTCCAGCTCAGCCAGCGACCCCCGCCCAGCTCCTGATGAAAATGAGTTTCCATTTGGTTGCCCCCCAGCTGCTTCCAAGGACCCCTCAGAACCCAGGGCTCTCTGCTGCACCACCTGTCTCTCTGAGAAACTGAGGTGAGGGGGTCAAAGAGCCAAGGGCCGGTGGGAAGAATGGCCAGGGAGGGACCCTGATGGGAGGGGAGACTGAAGAGATTGGCTGGCTGTGGACAGGCAACCTCGCCTCTTGAGCCTCTAGTTCCATGTTCTCTTCTTCCGAACACACCCCCTGGCCGGAGACAGGTGTGTCAGTAGCCATAGACAGCTGTCTGTCCACCATTATTGAGGTGGAACTTTTTAAGCACCTCTCGGCCACTTTCTGCTATGTAACCTGGTTTGAACCTCCGGTCTCTGAACCCTGACTTCTTGCCCGTGGAGCTGCCTCCTGTCTCACAGAACTGTTACAAGGCTCCATCAGTAATATTTCCCAACCCTGTCACAGTAATGAACAGAAGCCCTCTTGGCAAATACCATACTGCAATAAAACACCCTTTTGTTTTTCTAAACCGAGTTAATGGGGGCAAACATGCCAAAGGTGTGTGTTTACGCTTAAAGTGTAAATATCCGGGATGTGCTGCACCAATAGCAGTGATGACACCCTGCCTTGGCCATCGCTGTGCGCCTGCTGTGCACCGTGTGCCTGCTGTGCACCGTGTGCCTGCTGTGCACCAAGTGCTCCATCCCTGTGTCCTCCGTCAGCCTGCCCATCAGTCACTACCCTATGTAGAGCTGAGAACTGCAAAGCCCCCAGAGACAAAGTCGCTTACCGCCTGTGGGTTTTCTGGTAAAGATCCCGCAAAGGGCCATGGGCCACAGGCATGACCTTTACTTCGGGACCTTACAGCTTGAGACTGTGGGGAAACTGAATCAGTCAAACGAGAAGTTCAAATTCGGTGACTAAGGGGCGAGGCAGGAACCCAGGTGGGAGGCTGTAGCAATGGAAAGGCTGTGGGGGTGGAGGTCCCGACTGACTGGGTTTCCTGGCCAGCTGATGCTCTGAGCTCACCTCCTCCCCCACCCTTTTAAACCAGGTAGAGGAGGGAGCAGAAGCCGGCTGGAGAGTGCAGGTCTCAGCCAGAGGTGCCTCTGCCCTGCTCTGCCTTGAATTGATCTCCCATGGCCCATCCAAGGCTGCATTCTCTGGCCTCATTTTCCTCACCTAGAAATGGGCCAGCAACACTTACTCTGGGTCAGAACCACTTGTGCAGGTGTCCCACACTGTGCCCATTCCAGAGAGATAGCCGCTGAGACCTGTTCTTGCTCTAATAGGCCATGATCACCTGCCATGGCCAAGAAATAAGAGACCAGAACCACATACATACACGGTCCTGAGAAGAACAAATAGAGTTCCACACCGCAACTCCTTGCCTAGACCCTTGAGACTGAAGAGTTGGGGTTCAATTTCTGCAAGTCAGTGCATGGGATAATTCTCCCAGTAGAGACCCTGTAACCAGGCACTGGGATGGGTATTTCTACAGCGAGACATCCACAATCCCACTACCTGGGTGAAGAAAGGCACCACCAGGTCAAAGCAGGTGGGGCTGCAGGGGCAACTCACTGCAAGCTTCAGGAAACAGTGGGTGCCTGGGGCTCGGAAGCTTTGACGGTGGGGCTCCAGGATGGTGGAATTTACTACAAGGGGCAATGTTTGGGCTTTGAAGTCTGTCAGGAAGGGGGCAAATGATGGACAGCAAGGGCCAGCAAGGTGTGGTAATTTGAGAATCTTGTTCATGTTTCCCCAGAGATGGTGAAGATCTGATCTGTACCAAATGCAAAGCAGAAAACCTCCAACCTGTGAGCCCAGGAAGCCTTCTGACTCAGGAGAAGGTATGTCAGCATCTGGCCATCTCTAGGGACTGATTGCTCAGTCTGTGAAGACCTAAGTGTACTTACTAGAACCCATGTGATGAAAGCTGTGGGTGATGATGCCTGCAATGCCAGTGCTGGGGAGGAGATGTGGGGACCCCTGGGGCTCACTGGCCAGCTAGGCTGGGGAGGAGATGTGGGGACCCCTGGGGCTCACTGGCCAGCTAGGCTGGGGAGGAGATGTGGGGACCCCTGGGGCTCACTGGCCAGCTAGGCTGGGGAGGAGATGTGGGGACCCCTGGGGCTCACTGGTCAGCTAGGCTGGGGAGGAGATGTGGGGACCCTGGGACTCATTGACCAGCTACCCTAGCCTACAAAGTGAGTTCCCAGCTAACCAGAGACCTTGTCTCCAAAAGAAAGGGGTGGGGAGGGCGATGGTGGATGGCAGGCACATGAGAAACTGCTCCAGAGGTTGTCCTTTGGCCTCTACTGAGAGAGGGGCAGGGGGCACTTGCCCAGGTAGAGGCAGAGTGGGTAATTGCCCATGTGGCCTCTGACTTGCAGATGTGTCTCTGCTTTGTCTTGAGCCCACAGTAAATTCACTTCCCCAGCAAGGCGGAGACAAGTGTTCACAGTGACAACAGCACATTGTCCTAAGCCACTTGGTAGGCTCTGATCTATTTAGAATTGGAACCCCATTCTAGACCAGGAGTCCAAAAACTGCTTCCTGGACCAAACCCAGTCTGTCTCTTGGTTTTATACACAACCCACAGGATCAGGAAGTTTTGTGTGTTTTGACTGATGGAAGAAACTGTATTTAGGAATTCAAAAAGACTCTATAGCATGCCAACTCCATGACCATAAAGCACCCTCACTCTCCCTTATTGTCTGCGGCTGCTTCCTGTAGGACAGTGGCAGAGTTGAGCACTTATAACAGAAATTTCAAAACCCCAAAGTTTATCCTCCAGCCCCTTAATTGAGAACTTCAGCCAGTTCCCGATACAGAGAGAGATCATTTTCAACTCAAGCCAAGCTCCGCCTCCAGGAGTGAGAAACACCTTAGGACCTTGGAAGGGGCCAGAGAGACATGCTTATGCAACAACCTTGAAATCTAGTCCTGCCCTCCCCACCAAGATGAAAAGACCTTCATAGGGTACCTGTGTAGCCCAGAGGTCTCCAAGTCCCACCAACTCCTGACAAAAAGTATAGAAATGTATTCAGTGTTAGTTAAATTATCTCGGCTTACAGAGTCTATCTTTACTCCGAGAGTGTGGATTTCCTTCATGTCATGGCATGAAGGTAGATAAGAATTTCGGGTAAACTTTTTACCAGATACAGAACAAGGACAACAGTCTTTATGTGAATCTCACAATTAAGATCCTGAACAATCTTGTGTGAGTTCCAAAGTCCAACCATGTAGGAGTCGCTGCATAACACCTGACTTCTTGGATGACAGTTGAGGAAGACACACTGGGACTTCAATGCCAGAGCTCCTCAGTGGCCAGGGTCTCAGCTTGGTCATCCTCTCTGTCCCCACAGTGAGACAAATGAAGCTGCTTTTGGCCAAAGCTCACTCCAGCAGTGAACAGTGGCCCACAAGTCCAGACCTCAGTGTGCAGGCGTGGATTTATTTCCCTCAGTGTTTGGCTAGAGGCAAACTTGTTTTCAGACCCTGTTTCTCCCTTGGTAAAATGCAGAGGCTAAGTTGGCTCTTCCCAGGATCTGCGACATCTGAGTCACGGGTCAACAGCTGCCAGGGCACCCCTCCCTCCCTCCCTCTTTCCCATTGGCACAGCTGTAGAAGGGGCTCCACACCTGTTCCCCTTCCTTTGCACCAGTCCCTGTCATTCAGAGTGTGGGGACTTCCTACCCTGCCCACAGCTGACTGGAGGGCTTTCCCTTCCATTTTTAGCAGCCTCCCCCTGCTGTGGGCCCTCAGAGAATAATAATAAGGGTCAAGTTAATTTCCAGGGAAGAACTTCTTAGCCTCCCTGTCTGGCTGTCTCTGGACCCGCTTCACAGACACTTTACAGTGGCCTCTGGGCCTGACTGTGCAGCTCAGAGAATGGGCTCTGTGCTTTGCAGCTTGCTTTCTTCTTTCCCCTTAGCAAAATTAAAACACACCTCTTGTATACATGTAGGTAACATGTGTCAGATACACTTTAATGTCACTTCATCTAGCATCTTTGCATCTTTGTCAAGATAAACCCTATACACACAGAAGGCTTGGGTGGAAGGAGTGTCTGGAGCCAAGCCCTCCTGGTTAGCCTGCAGCGATGTGTAGGTAAAGCCTCTATGTCTGTCTGTAAGCGACATGAATAGGAAGGCCTTGTGTCTGACTTTGAGAGAAATGTAGCAGCAAAGCCCTGGCTCTGTTTGGGTTAATCAGTAGAGGCTGAGAAATTTTAACCCTTGAGGAACTGTTTCTCTGGAGAGTCTCACTAGGTGTGTGTGAGAGCTACTGATCTTGGCCATAAGACACTCCTGGCAGGCACGGAGCTCTTCCTTTTGCTTATGGCCATAATGAAAAGGGGCTGAGATTTGTGTGGGTTGTCTGCTCTCATGGGCAGCAAGAGCAAGAAGTCTTTGGCCGTTGGAATCTTTCCCAGCTCCTATTAACCTTGCACATGTTTGAATAAAGGAACTGGAGTGAGCAAGCTGAGTGTCGGTCTTTTCCAAGAAGGCAGAACCCCGCTGCTCCTTTGGAAAGTTTAAAACTTAACATCTTGGAGAGCCTCTCTCTCTACTGCAGCACAATGACCCAACATCAAACAATATTATCCCATATTTTCCCCTGCCCCAGGATCTAAAGATTTGAGGGACTTCCAGGGCTCAGCAAGATCTCAGATTGAAATTTGCTTCCTTAAGACAAACAAAGTAAGGGACCAGAGAGATGGTTCAGTGGTTAAGAGCACTGCCTGCATGGACCACAGGGGAGTTAAGATGGGGACTCCTCTGATCCCGCCCCTGATGGGAACTTAGGGACTTTTAACCTGAGGAAAGTGACTAAGCCAGGCCTTTGCAAATGGTAACTCCCACCTTTTTGTCTGCATGCCTGAGGGAATCTAGGAGACAGAAGCTGGGCAAAGAGGCCAGACTGGAGAGCAGCTGAGCTCAGCCCAAGGTGTTCATCTCACAAACCCTCCCATGCCCACTGCTATCCTCCCCTGAGTCTGTAATAGATCATCATCGCCTTACATAGGGCCCAGAAACATCAGCTAGTTACCAACACAGCAAGCAAATATTAGAAGGTCAGTGGTAACACAGAGAGGCTACTCTTGTCTGGAATGACCTTCCTGAACAGTTGACCATAGGGTAGAGGACAAACCAGGAGCTGGGGGTGGGGAAGGGCTGGGCAGATGAGAGTTTCTGCTGTGAAAGCATGAGGACCCATGTTCAAATCCCCAGAACCCCTGCTAAAAAAGGGGGGGCCAGACTTGGCCATGCATACTTGTAACACCAGCCATGTGAGGGGTGGAGACAGGAGAATTGCTGGAGCTTGTTGTTCACCAGCCTAGCTCTACGTTCAGTGAGAGACCCTGTCTAAGGGACCAAGTCTCAAGGTGGAGAGCAATGAGAGTGATAGTGCAGGGTATCTGATGTGGGTGCAAGCACACACACACACACACACACACACACATACACAGATGCACAAGCACACATGCACACATACACGCACATACACACTTATACACACATGCACATACACACATATACACATACATATACACATATACACGTGTGCATACACACAAACACACATGCATATATGCACATACACACAGCATACACATATACACATATACACACACAAACACATGGTGCTCGCACACACATACAGACACACATATACACACGCATGTGCGCGCACACACATATACATACACATACACACACAAACAAAACAAACCAAGAACTAGGAAATAACATTTGGTTATGTTTGCTGAGACCCCAAGAAGGGAACTCTGCTTCTCTCACATTCTTCCCTCTGAGGTCCAGTCAGGAAGATTGGTTTGTGGCTCATGATAATGCCATGGTCTTCTCTAGAACCCGAATGACAGAAATTTAAGCAGTCTAGTGTGACTTCCAGTGTGTGCATGTAGTGGGCTCCTGCCACCTGGGGTTGTCTTTTCAAAGCAGGGAACTCGGGGCACTGTAACGTGACCCCTCAACATGCCATGGCTTCTGACGGCCATGGTGACTTCTTCCGTTATTTGGCTGAACCCAAGTGGGCTTCCTTCAAGGAAGGCCAGTCAGCCTTCTGTTCCCAGGGTCCTGGTGTGTGGGAAAGCACGAATCATGTGTCCCCCATGTCTGTGCTCTCTGAAGTGTGCTAACCACTGTGACTCCCCATCTTTACACTACTAAATGTGACACATGCTCTCTAAAGTGTGTAAACTCCGTACCTTTACACTCGCAAATGTGACATATCCTCTCTAAAGTGTGTAAATTCTGTACCTTTGCTCTCTAAAGTGTGTGTCTCCCACCTTTACCCTCCTAAATGTGACATGTGCTCTCTGAAGTGCGCTAACCAGTGTGACTCCCCATCTTTACACTCCCAAATGTGACATGTGCTCTCTGAAGTGCACTAACCAGTGTGAACTCTCCACTTTTACACTCCTAAATGTGACAGTTTGCATCTATAATCTGAGCCCTCCAACAGCATTCTGTTGGGACCCTTGATTTATTAATAGTTAATATATGAAGGCCGAGGGCAAAGGAGATGCTGGTAGCTGGCCCTAAATCAATGGCAGAGCCAGACTCCAACCCCATGCTTCTAGACTGGTAGTATTTGTTCCGTTTCAACGTCAAGTGGAAAATGAGCTCCCAAATGGTTTATACATGACCTGTGCACCTGGCAGGAGCAGTCAGACTCTGTAGGCGTGAAGGCAAGATAGGGTGAGCACCCTAGACTACCTGGATGAGCACAACATACCACAGGATCCTCGTAAGGAGACAAGCATCCATGGGGGGATGGGGAATGTTGACTTGGATGATGCAGAGAGGACCCTCAAGCCAGG